TAAAAATATGAATTTGCCGTACTCGCGAGCGCCTCGTTATCGAACGAACGTTACATACGCGTATTACGATCGGAAGGCGTGTCGACACGTGAAAGGGCTCTTAAACTCTGAAACCGTAATACCGTGTGTCGCGAATGCTTGCCTCCGTCTGAAACTAGCCTCGCGGGCTGTCGCTCGTTCTGTCCGCCCTCTCCTTAGAAGAGGAAAAAAAAAAGAGAGGAGGAGGACGAAGGAACGAGAGAGAAACGTGAACCCGTCGAAACGACGGACGCGTTAATTAACGCGTGCCTGACGGCGCGAGAAACGATTACCTCGTTATTTCCGTGCGAAAGAGGCGCAACCCCGGAGAAAGCGAGAACGGAGAAAGAGAGAGAGAGAGAGAGAGAGAGAGAGAAGGAGAGAAAGTAAGAGAAGGAAGTAGAGAGAACGCGAGGAGTCACTTTCGCAGGAAATTAAGCATCGCTCGCGCGCTCTAACGAATTAAGGATGCTTTACGATCGTCGGTGTCCGTGGAGCGGCCGCAAAAGTCGGGGAGGCAGGGGGCCGAGCTTCCCCCGAGAGTCGCCCGCGCTCGCGCCAACAACCAAAATTAAAACAATAATTTACGCTCGTTTACCTTTTTGCCTCGCGCTCTGCGCTTTCTTTCATTCATTCATTCATTCATTCTTTCTTTCTTTCTTTCTTTCTTTCTCTGCTCCCGACGGAAACGATCGATCACGTGGAAGGATACCGTGTACACACCCGAAAAGTTCGCGGAATTTATTTATAAAAATTACTGCACGTAATTATTCATCCAAATTTACGATTTCACCTTCTAAGGTGCTAACTCCCTTCCCGAGTGTCTGCATTTTATTTACACAGCGACTTCCCCATCGGGCGAAAGCAGTGCTGCAATTCTTCTCGCTTGAAATTGTTATCATCCTCGTCGTTTCTTGCTTTGTATCATCTGAAATGTTAATCATCGTTTTCTTTGATAGTCAGAGGCACTACAGTCGACGTGCAATATTACCTTGGTATCCTTGATAGGCTGCGTAATCGTGCATGTCGAGTGAGGCCACAACTTTGGAAAGAAAAGAGTCCTCCGACATGACAGTGCACCCTCCCACGCGTCGTCGTTCAAGAGCTTCCAGCGCGATTCAACATTTTATTCTTCCCCGAAAAATAGGAAAATACCAGCGTTTTGGGAATGTACACAAAACGAGAAACGACAGGGATAACGAGAGCAATTTCAACCGAAGAATTGCCCAATGGAAAAGCTGCTGAAATAAGCGGTTTACGCATTGGGGAATGACTTTGAAGGTTACATTTTTCTAAATAAATTTTGATGGCCGTGATGCGTTTACTTGATGAAATCACAAGTGTTAGAAACTAGGACAAGGTTAACCAAGTGAACTGCCCTTCGATATATATTAAAATTCAACATCGATCCTTGCGCAGAGTAATTCAATTTGTTACACGTGTGTATGTACGTGAGAAGATATTATAATAGACAGTTATATCGTTGTTATTAATCGTTGACGTTAATGTGATAACGAGCGAGTGAGAAAAAAGCCAGATAACCTTTCGACAGACAGGGTGAAAGTTCACTCGGGTCAGCTGATCGATATTTCGAAATTCGATCTTGATCTAGCCACGGAATAATTACATTCGCGCAGAGAGTAATAAAATTTGTCGCCAGTTGTTCAACTGCTTCACGAAAGTACTCACTTCTTGTGAATATATTACGCGTACAAGTTCTGAAATTTCATTAGCATCGGTAACAAGACAACGACCCATCACGGTTATATCGATCAACTTCGAAACAACCGAGATTTAATAATGCACGCTGGAATTTTCAAGATGTTTCGAGCGCAAACAAATAAGGAAATATTTGATAGAGAAATTCAGAGATAGTTGAAAACCGGAATCCGCTAGATTGAACGATACTGTTATCCTTCTTTCACTTTCATATTCAGTTGCGCGATATCTGTTTTACTTGATCCCCAAGCGCACGCGTACAATCAAACGCCAGTTGAATTTTAGAAAAAAGAGAGACGCGTCTCTCTGCACTTACATGGAAATTCTTCTGTCGAAATGATATTTCCTTACCAATTAACGCGCACGACGAAACTCTCGAAAATTTTTCAATCCGGACACTTTTTCCTGCCAATTAATTCGCGTAACAAAGCTTTCACGGCAGGTAATTGTCTCGACGGGCGCGTACATACGTGGGAACACGTTCGTTGTAATCATAATCGTCGCAGCCTTCTCGTTATGCCCGATCACGTCGCGTGGAATTTAACGAAATCGCGTCGTAAACCGCCGCGATCCTGAATAAAAATTGAAAAGGAAAAGAGGGAGTGAGGCGCTGCGGGGAATAAAAACATAATCGAATGGAAGTGGCAGTGAGTTGGCAGAGAATCGATCGATCGCAAAGAGAACGCGGGGAAATTTTGGTCGCCGCCTCTCGGACGGGACGTTCCCGTAATGGGTAAACCGTCGACACCGAAATCGCCAAAGGGGACGATGGTGAGAGCGAGACAGCTCCAAACGGGGGAGAGAGAAAAGAGGGAGGGAGAGAGAGAGAGAGAGAAAGGAAACGACGAACGTCTGGACGAAATTGCTCTTAACGATGTTCGATTTTCTCGTTAGTGCAAGTCGTTCTTGGAAGCGACGTATACGTCGCGTTGCCGCGCCTGCCGCATTTGCCCGCTCTCGCTCTCGTTCTCGTTTCTCCTCTCTACCCTTTGCGTCTCCTTTCGATGCCTAGCCATCGACCAAATTCTCTCGTAGGCTCGTAGGAAACTTCGCCGGGGGAAGATCGGGGATAAACGTCGTGGAACAAAGTTTCCGGCCGTGTCGGCTTAAAAACTTGAAATTTCAGCCTTGCCGAACCCTCGTCTCTCTCGAGCTTGCCTCGCTTCGAATTAGACTTGCCTCAATTTCTAGTAGCTTATCGTTATTAAAGTGTCAATCGGAGAAATATCGAGTCATAACCTGACTCACTCAGGTGTGATATATGCTGAAATATTCTAGCAGGTATTATTTCGTCCGACTAGCACGCTGGGCGGAGACCGATCTCGACCGATCGAAACGAGACACGTTCTATTCTGGATGTTTCAGTGGAAGGACACGCCGGCCTCGCGACGCCTTCCGTCTGCCTGACACTGGCCAGCGCGCTACTTCTCAGACTACTGGCTGCGGTCTAGGAAATAAATACCACGTAACGAAGCCCACTCGTCGCGTGTGAAACGCGCGCGGCTGGCCGCGCTCGCGTCCACCACACCGACGCTGTTGCCACACGCCTGGACTCCTCCATCGAAGACGACAGGAAGAAGATTTAGCAAGAGGGAAACTCCAGAGAGAGGGAAACTCCGGAGGATGGAAGTTCAACGAGTCGCAAACAGATTGCCAAGTAGAGTTTCGAGACAGGTGAAACTGGACGAAATATTCCGTGTTACGGACGATGGCGTAGTGGAGCTGTCGCTCGGCTACTTGGCAGGATGGATGATCGATCGGAACCACCGGGGTCGCCGTGAGTCAATCGCGGGGCAATCGCGCGTTTCACGACGCGCGCGCGACTCGCGAAACACGATTTACCAGCCTGTAAGCGGATTAATTTACACGAATCGACATCGTGCACGGGCTAGCGTAAATATATTGTATAGTCGGCCTGGCTCGCTTTGGGAAGAAATGGCTCGCTCGGGGACAAGGCGACGGCAGCCTCTTCACCGCGGCGATTCCGCTGGAGATCACCGGCGACGCGACGAGCGAGAGGCCGAGAACCACGCGTCTCGACCATCTAAACCTCTTCCTTCCCCGCATTATCCGTGTCTTTCTCGCATGACGCGCACTCGCGTAGCACGCAAACGATACCTACGTGTAACCGATTATACGGCTTCGAAGCTTCTAACTCCCGTTGTACATCCGAAAAGAAGGGCGGCTGTGTCGACTCGCTCGCGGCACTCTCGCTCGTCCCGAAAAGCGTAAGCAAGGGGAACCAACTTTCCGACCGACTTCCCTTCGCGTCCACCATCGTGTTCTCTCTCTCTCTCTCTCTCTCTCTCTCTTTGTGTCTGTATACTTTGTACATAGCTGCGACGCCTGCACGCGCGTACACCTGCCCGTGTTATCTACAGGAAAAAAAGAAAATAAAAAATTAAAAAAAAAAAAAAATAAAAACACTAGAGGTACCTCGTCGAGATAAATTACGATAGATGATGAAAAAAGAAACCCGTTGGACCCGCAAACATTCATTCGTGCTTTCCGTAGAGACGTAGGCAAACGTGGCGCGGCGTATTCTTTTCTTTTCCCTTTTCCCTTTTTCCTTTTTTCTTTTTCTGTTTCTTTCGTTTTTTTCTTTTCTTTTTTTTTCTTTTTGAAGATCTGGATCCGTGCTAGGCTCTCGAGCTAGGATCGTTGAGCCGCGCAATCGAGGAACTCCTGAAAAATCGGAAAGAGATTACGTACTTGTGTGTATGGCCTAATGTATATACGTATACATAATATATATATATACATACATATATATATATATAT